AGGAGACAAAACAATGTCGACTCGAATGTGTCACGGCTTGTTTCTGAGTCTGCTGATTCAATATAATGTGTGTATAGCACCCTCTTGTGGCCAATCGTTTACTTACATGTACTGTCCATCCATCCATCCATCCATTTTCCGATCCGCTTTATTCTCACAAGGGCCGCTAGGGGGTGCTGCAAGCCTATCCCAGCCGTCTTCGGGCAGTAGGCGGGGGACATCCTAAACCGGTTGCCAGCCAATCGCAAGGGCACGCATAGAAAAACAACCATTTGCGCTCACAACCACACCGAGGGACAATTTGGAGTGTTCAGTCAGCCTTGTCATACATGTTTTCGGAATGTGGGAGGAAACCGGAGTACGGGGAGAACATGCAAACCCCCACACACGAAAATATGGGCAGTGTGAAAAGCTGCAGGTACTCAACGCTCCCCCTTCCAAAGGGGATTTGTAATTGCGACCAATTGCCACAAGATGGCGACGACGCACTTAAAATGAAGAGCATCATCAAGCTTCATAATGAACACTTACATTGGATCCTCAAAAATAAAAAGATGACAAAATACAATATATATTTTTGGAACAACTTTTGAATGTTCCATGAACCTGCCATGCATATTTTTGGAGTGTGGGAGGAAACCAGAGTACTGGGAGAAAACTCACGCAGCACGGTGGGGGAGAGAACATGCAAACTCCAAACAGGAAGGCCGAAATCTGACTTCAAAAATGTCTTCAAAATAAGCAGCATGCTGCCGCCCAAAGAAAAAAACAAAAAAAAAACAAACTCCTCATGCAGTGGTCCACAAGCACTCGCACAAAGCAGTCCCAGGCTGCGGGCCACTCCCGGCAGGCCGCGCAGATGAAAGAACAGAAAAAAAACGTACAGACTGACTATTTCCTGTTTGTCGATTATCCGAGGCTGAAAATATTTTATTTTTAAACGTGACCGGATTCTCTTTGTCACGCGCCCGTCCGTGACGGGTGACACGTGTCAGGATCCGAAAGTCGCCTGGTGAGAACACGTCGACCTTTCCAAAGACTTGGTGCACGCCGACCGGCGCGGATGTCGTCACCGTCATTGTTTCGGTTCCAAAAGTGACGAGCGCGCCAAAACACGGAAAGCAAAGAAAGCAGCTTCAGAAGTGTCGATTAGCAAAGCGGCTTGCTCTGCCTCTTTGCTCCCAGTCGCAAAAAGACAGCCCGGCGTTGTTTCCGTCACAATCGGTCTCGTCTCGTCTGTCTGTCTGTACGACACCTCGGACGATGTAAAAGCTTCACGTCGTCTCAGGAGGGTTTTTCCTGGGTGGAATCCTTCCGCCTTTAAGTGGCGGAGCTGGTGGACACGTTGGGAGCGACGGTGGTCCTGCTTTGGCCTTTGCGCTTCCTCCCGCCGCCGCCGCCACCACCGCTGCCTCCTTGTCCTCCAGCTTCGTTCAGCGGCCGGCCTCCCTCGGTCTTCTTCTCTGATGAGACAAAAAAAATGTTCGGGAGACGATGTATCTGTCCTTCTTCGGACCTTGGTTTCAAAGCACGTTCAAACACAACAACTTGCTGGCAGTCAAAATCGAAACGTTTACAGTTGTTGTTTTTTTTTTAAGAAGAGTGTCAAAAAAAAAAAATCTTGGGAAGAAGATTCAAACGTAAAAATAAAATCGTGCCCAAATAAATCGTGTGAACTTGTGTCATCTTGGGGGGAGGAGGGGGTGGGTAGATGACAATGTGAAAATAAGACACGAATTTCACAAAGGTGGAAGGATGGATCAATCAATGAATTAAAGAAATAAAAGGAATCTAAAAGGTGGATAGTTGAATTGTAATCAAACATAACAAAACAAACAAAAACATGATCTAATTCCGTATTAAAGGTTCAATGGACTCTCTTTTGTGTCGTGACGTCAGGACTCATCGATCAAGCAACTCCCGTGGTCAAGGTGCTCTGAGTCGGGACGGACGAACCCACAGCTGCTCCCTCCGTCTCCGAATGATCCTTCGACGGAGACAAGACGGGACCCTCGCTCCCCCCTTACGAGTACAGTACAGGTCAAAAGGCGAGTAGCAGCATTCTGGAGCAACTGGACACGCTGAGTGGCGGATCGGACTTCACAATCATCCCGAGGATCGGATTTACAAATCATCCGAAATAGAGCCGAGCAATTGTGAAAAAGGCAGCACGGCGGGCACTGGTTAACACGTCCGCCTCACCGTGCAGAGGTGCAGGGTTCGATTCCGGGACTCTTTTGTTGTTTTTCAATGACGCGGCATCCATTTTTGCAAATTATCGGACGCCCAAGCGACGGCTCGCGGACCAGTTTGGCCATCCCCCCCCCGACGCAAGGTGCCCGGAATGGGCCGATAGGTGCGCGTTGGCGCAAGGACGACATCTGCGATTGCTCTTCTAGACGAAACGCGGTCGCGCCTCATCCCGAGCCTTCCACAAATTGAAAGTTTTTCCGAGAGGGTTTATAATTTGTCACCGCTAATTGTTTTCCCCCCCCCCCCCCCGCCCCGAGAGGAGATTCTTTCCAGGGTGAATTCACACGCGGCTCATTTGTCGACGGCGGCTGTGTCGACCGTTTGTTGCCAATGTTCCTCATTTGTAGGACTTGAAAATGCCGCCAAAGCCCGAGAATAAGTGAAGGGGGCCCTCTGTCGCGGGTGGATGGCGATTGTCCGATCGCATCGTGCGAGTCGTCCCTCTCATATTTGGACCGTGCCGCAAGTCTCCAGCCGGTCAATGAAGTGAAAGTGGAGTACTGTACCGCCGTCGCGCGTGGACGCGGACCTCGAGCTCTTTTGCAGGGCGTCTTGGGCGCCGCGCATTTCCTCCTCTGGGTCTGAGGCGCGCACGTCTGGGAGGGCGCGTCCCACACCCGCAGCGGTCGTCGCACCCGAGAACGAGCGGCCTTTTTCAAGCCGCACGGCTTGCTCGTCGTCTTCACGCACGCGCCCCACTGGCTCCACTCGGACAGCTGGCACTCTGGAAAAAGAGCCGGCCGGGAGCATCAAGATGGAGGGCGCCGGTGCCGCCGCGTGACCGCGCTCGGTCTTACGCCGGCGGGTCGTCTTCGCCGCGTTGCAGCAATGACGAACCCAAAAACCACCCGCGATAAACGAAAATCTGCGAAGTAGCGACCAATCAACATATACAGGTTAAAAAAATATATATATCTTTTTTGGGCGTATTGACAAACAAACAAAAATAGATCTTCATGATTTATGAACATGTTGAAGGCGCTAACTTGTCCATATTGAATATTCCAAATTGAAGGTTTTATTTTTATGTATATGCAAATGATAGTTGCTTTTACCCATAGCACAATACTGCTTTTCATTGCTTTTATTGTCCATAGAGGGCACCAACCTAAATAAGTAAATAGAAACTACATATGTATGGATAGGTCTGACGCCACTGAACATTTTTTTGAGTGGTCGCAAGAAAAAAAATATTCAGAAATGACTTTGATATTACACCTCAAAGCCACCGTTCCAGTTTGGAGCCTTTTTTCCCATGTGTTGTTAAAAAAAGTCAACGCACCAGGGTTCAGTCCGCAAACGGTCCGCGAGAAGCTGCAAAAACAACAGCCAGTCACATAGAGCAACATATACAGTACGGTACTCCATGTATATTAATTTATTTGAATTTTTTTTTATATGTTTGAAAAAATCCGGATGCACTGAAGACGCGATAAACGAACCGCGAAATAGCGAGGGATCACTGTAATCATAAAAAGAAAAATGAGTTCCTGGTGACTCACCCACACACTCCATGGTATCGTTGGCGGGGTGCAGGCCCGGAGGGCAACTCGCAGAACATTTTCCGTTGTCCAAATACAAGCCCTCCTTGCATTTCATGCAAAACTTACGGTCGAAGCACACGTCACAGTCGAGATCACATTCTGCAAGACACAGACGGAGAAGCAAAGCCTTTCGAGGACTCGGCTCAACTGGATTGACGTCGAAAGCCCTTTCAAACAACCGCCGTTGTCTGCGAAACGGGTTACGCGGAGCAAAAAAGAATTGAGAACGACGACGGCGGAAAGCACCAAAACAGTCCAACTCAAAATCAAATTCTCATGCCGAGTCAAAAGCCAAAGAATCAAAATGACTTCAAGAGCGCGCCGAGTCGGCTGCGTGTGGCTCGCGGCCACGGTGACATCAACACAAGGCGGTGTTTCAAAAAAACGGGGCGATAACAAAGGTACATTTTCCGAGAACGAAAGCGAACGAAGCCAGCGGCACTCACGTGAACATCTGTTGTTGCCTCCGTGGATCCTGACGCCAAAGTACCCGGCGGGGCAGGAGGCCAAGCACACGCCCACTTGGCTCAGGTCGCTGCGGGCCAAGAACATGAACAGCTTGGCCTTGCATCGGACGCAGCCGTTGTACTCGGAGCAGCGCTCGCAGCCTTTGGGGCAAGAAGGCCAAGAGCCCTCGCCGCTCGCTGGCCGCAAAGGAAAACAACAACGTTCAAAAAGAATCATGAGCAGACCCATCAAAAAACGGGCCCATTTCGCTCGTTTATAGTCGACCTGTTCAAATAAGATTTTTTTTGTTTTTTACCGGCATGTCAATGTGTTGCGCAGAAACAGATGAAACAGTTTAAAAAAAAAAAAAAAAAAGCACGTGGCGCTTGACCAAAAAAAATTTGGAGGGAGCCGCAAAATGAAAGCCATGATGCCGTGAGGGGAAACCATTTTGTCAGTCGAAAACCGGCGCCAAACAAATGACGCCAGGGACTCAATCCGACGGGGCCGGCCGGAAAAACACAAGGGCTTTTGTTTCTAAAGTACGTTTCACGCTCCGCTCTGGTTCACTTACCCCGTCTCTGCCTTCTGGTCTTTGCAGAAGCTTTGGCAACATCGGCGTCAGCCGCGGAACTGAGGAAGACCAGCGCCAGCAGCCCCAGCCACATCGTCCCTGTTCGTTTAGCGGCCACGCAGGGTCCCTTCCGGACGAGGTGGGGCAGAGGAGGGGGGGTGGGGGGGTTCCTTTCCCCCCGCGAGACGGGTCAATCGGTCCCTCGGTCAAGCCAACGGGAGCCAGAGGTGGTCCGACATTTGGCCTTTCAACCCATGAACCCGGCGGGATTGGCCGCTCTTCCTCTTTTCCCGCCGTCGGCGGCGGTCAGAGATGACGGGTTCAGCGGACCGTTCCTCGTGACAAACTGCGGAGGCACCATTCAAGGGTCAGAAATGGTTCATCGGGTGTTTCCGGGAAGCGGCGCGCTGGTAATTTTCCACTCGAAAGCCAGTCTACGCTTCAGAAATCCGATCGCAGCCTTTCGGTGGTGCGGAGCTGGCGTGTTCTCCAGTTCCGCACCGCCCGCGTCTCAGAAACACGCACGTTAGCTTCGGCCAAGACCGTCAATGGCCCAAGTGCACATTGAACAACATTTTTTTTTCCCACAACCGTGGCAACTCTAACAATGGAATAAAAAAAAAAAAAAAAAAAAAAAACGATCAATCTGGAAAGCAAGAAGTATCAACGTCAGGAGGTCAGGTTTGCCTCATTGAGTGACAGGAAGGTTTCAAAATATTCCACCAGCTGGCGAGAGATGATTTAAGGACAATAACAAGAGTGAAAGAAGGAAGAACATGCAAGAACGAAAGCTGCTCGCAAAAGAAAATATCAGCACTGTTATGACTTCACCACAAAAGTAGGACAAGTCATCAACAAAGAAGGCGCAACCCACCTGCGTACCGGCGTCCACTTGTCACACTTTATTTTATTTTTTTTTTTGAAATATATAAATGGAAATTCAATCGAATGATGTCAGAACGTCATAAAAATGCCGCAGTCAGGTCAAAAGTCCAAAAAAGAAGAGCAAAAGAATCCGATTCCACTGCAACGAGGCCGGTTGGCGTTTTTCCCCTTTGCCCCCCCCACTCCAGTTCAGGGTCGTTGAGTTTCGATTTCAAGAAGCTCCCCCCCCCCGTCGACTGTCTCTTCCTGCCGCGACTCGGTGGAGTGCGTGTGGGAGAGCGCGAGATGGAGGCGATATTTGCATCCCCCCTGCTCCCAGCCGCCAGGACCCGCGGAAGCCGCGCCCACCAGCTCCGCACGACACCGAAGAAAGAAAAGCCGCCACCTGCGCCCTCGATCGGACCGCCCGCGGCTCCGCTCGCGTCGAGTTTGGATTCGACTCCCGACGCGCGCTTTGCATCCATTGCTGAAAACAAAGAGCGAATGAGAGAAATGTTCCGAGCGGCCCGCGCTAATATTCGCAACTGTCAGCCGAGTGCCAGAAGAAAGTCACCGACCGCCGTTCAGCCAGTCGGGTCTGATTTGTCATGACAAATGTTTTTTGGCTCAACGGGGCGCTTCTCCTGGCTTCTTTTTTCGAATAAAAGCACCGAGCCATTTTCACGAGGAAAACAAAAAAGAGACGGAAAGTGATTCATTTCTGCTTTTAATCAGCCGCTGTGAGGCAACGGAGGGAGCCGGCCGGGCGGCGTCGACGCGCGACTCGCCGCTCATCATCTCACCTCGAATAGCACAAAAAAAGTGAAAATGAAAGCCAAACTTTCATTTGTCTTTGTACTGCACTGAAACGACAAGAGCACAGTTAAGATGGCCGACGCCGTCTGCCGGCATCACCAAAAGGTGCCCGTGAACGCCGCCTACGAGGGTTAGCGTCTCAACTTTTGAAGCTAATTGAGGCCCCTGTTGCTAGCTTCCTCTCATAATTGAGGCTCCTTTGCACTGAATGGAAACAGGTTGGAAGTTTGGCCTGTTATTATCGCTGTTTGTATCGGCGATATTTTGTGTTTTTAATCCTTATTTCGATTTCATATTGACTCCAGGGCAATGCGCAACTTACATCAGTGACATAAAAATGTCACACGAGCTTCAAATCATCTGAAAAACATTTGCTAGCGGAAGGTAAAAACGGGTGGATTTTGCCGCCTAATCCATCCGGCCGTTTTGCTGAGCCGCTTCAGCCTCACGAGGGTGGCGGGCGAGGGGGGGCGCACCCTCGACGGCTTGCTAGCCAATGGCGGGGGCACGCAGACACCAACAACCGTTCGCGCTCGGGTGCAATTTGGAGCATCCCCTCAACCTACCGAGCACCCGCACAAAAGCCACGCAGGCCCGAAGTCGACTGTGAGGCGGATGTCGCCCCCTCCCCCCCGTCGCATCTTTTTCCCCCACGATATTGTTATTTACGGCACCGATGAGGAGTTTTGTCCAAACCTCATCCCCCCGTTTCAGAATGTG